AAAAAAACGCATAAAATTTGCAAAATCTCATCGGTTCTTTATTTGAAACGTTAGATTGGTCCATGACATTTACTTTTTGAAGATAATTTCATTTAAATGTTGACCGCGGCTGCGTCTTAGGTGGTCCATTCGGAAAGTCCAATTTTGGGCAACTTTTTCGAGCATTTCGGCCGGAATAGCCCGAATTTCTTCGGAAATGTTGTCTTCCAAAGCTGGAATAGTTGCTGGCTTATTTCTGTAGACTTTAGACTTGACGTAGCCCCACAAAAAATAGTCTAAAGGCGTCAAATCGCATGATCTTGGTGGCCAACTTACCGGTCCATTTCTTGAGATGAATTGTTCTCCGAAGTTTTCCCTCAAAATGGCCATAGAATCGCGAGCTGTGTGGCATGTAGCGCCATCTTGTTGAAACCACATGTCAACCAAGTTCAGTTCTTCCATTTTTGGCAACAAAAAGTTTGTTAGCATCGAACGATAGCGATCGCCATTCACCGTAACGTTGCGTCCAACAGCATCTTTGAAAAAATACGGTCCACTGATTCCACCAGCGTACAAACCACACCAAACAGTGCATTTTTCGGGATGCATGGGCAGTTCTTGAACGGCTTCTGGTTGCTCTTCACTCCAAATGCGGCAATTTTGCTTATTTACGAAGCCATTCAACCAGAAATGAGCCTCATCGCTGAACAAAATTTGTCGATAAAAACACATTTCGAACCGAACACTGATTTTGGTAATAAAATTCAATGATTTGCAAGCGTTGCTCGTTAGTAAGTCTATTCATGATGAAATTTCAAAGCATACTGAGCATCTTTCTCTTTGACACCATGTCTGAAATCCCACGTGATCTGTCAAATACTAATGCATGAAAATCCTAACCTCAAAAAAATCACCCGTTATAAGTAAGGATGTGGGTTTCATATATGTATGTATGTAAGTACATCGTTGTTAATTGACTTCGAGATGCCCATTATTTTGCTTATGAAACCAATTTAAAATATTTTCGTGTACAATGGACCAATCTGCGGCGCCTCCGAAATAAAATGGTTTGTCAATGCATACGAAAATTTTTGGCTTTTTTTAAATATTGAACCAAGATTGAAACTTAGATTTATATGGTTTTTGTTAAAGAATATACTATTTTTTATTTTAAATAATTATAATTAAAAAATATTAATATAAATGTCAATCTGTGAGTGTCGTAAAATTATGATAAGCACAACAGTGCTATATGGGTGAAATTGAATAGTTTTGAGTGCACAACATTTAAATTTAGATTAATGTGAAAGGAAAAAACTCGGAAAACGGACTCTCGGAAAATGGGCGTGGCACCTTCCATAAAAACTGAATTTTTCATATTCCATATGTCTGGAAAAGTGGGAATAATAAAAAAGGGAACGTGGTGCCTTCCAAACGTACTGAAACTTTTACATATCTTGTATGTATATAGCTCTTCTGCACGTGTGCTGTGGCTAGGCCGATTTTAAAGAAAAGTTTTGTGTGTGTTTGGGTGAGTCTCTGCATAGTTTAGGCTCTCAATTTGGCCGACCAGGTGGCTCTGAAGTAGAGTTATTACTAAAAATCTTATTTATGTTTCGATTTGACTTATATTCGAAATATTATTGGTAGTTAGTTAGTTAATTTTTTGGGTGTAAGAGACACTGGGACCTAAAAGATCTTTTGTATCTCTTAAAGAGACTCCCTAACCCAGTGTGGCCAAGATACCTTCGGCTTCCCTAATTAATCCTAAAATGGTCCTGGTAGGCGAATTCCTTATAACAAAGGGTTCGACCGTTGAAGATTTAGAGTAAATCAGGACAGTGACAGAGAAATCCCCCGTAGTTTCATCATTCTCGAGGCAGAGCCGGCATTCCGACTCTGTGATCGCACCTATTAGGTCAAGTGGAATCTCGAATGGTTGTGACCGGTCAGGTACCCAGAAAGTAGCCGGATCACATTTGTAATTACTACAACAATGCTGTTTCTTTCGAAAAGGTAGCCGAAGAGCCTGCCCTTTCTAAGGCCCCCCACCGCTGGAGTCGATTTATTACTAAAAATTCGTATTTATTATCCACTTAGGCTCATATTAGGGATATGTATTGGTAATGGTAAGTTCAATACTATTGCAAGAAAGAGCCACCAGGGGGCGCTAAAGTTGAGCTATTTCTAAAAAAAACGTCAAAAAAGAAAATGTGCCGAGCATGTCCGATTACATCGACCTGCTGCACCACTGAGTATGTCGAGCTCCCTTGTGTTTCGATTGGCTCGTGATTTTGATCAATCCAAATTGTCTACCGTTTAATCAACCATCAAAACCATTGCGCTCTTTGAGTAGACATTTAAGGTCTTTCGTCTGACATTAGATTTCTGTAGAACAACGATACTCATCCATTTTGAAATTGCCACCAACTATACTATACAGTTTCAAGGATATATTCACCATCGAAGCGGATCATTGTTGCCGCCAAAGAGTGCAGATGAAAACGTTTTTCACATTAATTTCCTTGTTCGACTAACCGTGCTATGAAATGTCAGATCATTGGACAATTTCAAGAGCTTCTTCACGGTTATAGCACTTCCCTTAGGCTAATTGAGAGGGCCATCTAAATGAGCCTTCCGGCGACCATCAAACCATATTGTAAGCAAATAAATCGCGAACGTGAATTGCTGGTGGAAATGTTGGACCAAAATGTTTTAATAAAGAAATGGATTTTGGACGGGAAGAAGTTCGCCTGGTCTGACCTGTTATGTAGGTATTTGTATAACGAATCAAAAATGTCAAGAGGTATCTACATATGTACATACAAACATATGTAGCGTTGAGTGAATGACTGTTCTAAAAAAGGCGGATCAGAATTTGCAAACTATGGGATTCCCTAATGCTTGCTGACGAATTATTTAAGCATACACATTTATAAATATTTAGCAATACAGAGATTTTCCCTACATCTGGTATTCACCGCGCTGAGAATTTTATGAATGAAGCAACGAATACCATGAAATGATTGCTATTTATAAGCGGTTGTTCCATTCCAAATTGTTTATAGGATTTCCTGCAGTTATGAGCTTAGGCCATCATATATATATATATATATATATATATATACGTTTGTATGTACAATGCACATTGCACATATTTCAATCACGAATAAATTTTGTAATATCTTAAAATTTTGTAATATCCCTCTCTCCTTCCACGTTCTTTCGCAATATAAGCATCATTACCGCTTACCGTTCGTTCGTGATCATCTATTTTTTTCACATCGTTCATTTATTGATTCTTCTTCTTCATATGTCATCGCTATTGTTGGTGGCTATGGTGATTTTAATTTCTTGATTAGCGTGTTTCAAGTTTTATTCATAGACCGGTTTAATCGACGGGTAAAAACTCTTAAAAATCTATTAAATATTTGAGTAAAAATCAAAAAAAAAAAAAAAAATGCGCCTAAAGGTAAAAACATATACATACATATGTAGGTATGTATGTAAATACAAACATATGTAAATGCTTGCCGGTCTAAACTAGTAACTTCTTTTCTCTGACTACAAATGTACATTCATACGTATGTACATATGTATGTGTGCACTAAGTTATCTAAGTTTAATCATTCTTTTATGACATTTATTTAGTAAATGCAAAACGAAGGCGAAATGTTTAAGAAAAGTGCTTTTGATGTTTCAGTTAGTGTTGTGATCTTCAACGAGCTTCACCATGGCATCTGCGAAATTGGTAAGTTTTCATTGAGCGAATGTTTTAGACGATCGGGTGGTAAAGTGACAGAATATTTACGGATACAAAAAGGTGTTCGCTGTTGTTTATATCAAAGTTCGGGGAAATATAAAACCAAAACTTAACTCAAGAAACTAAGCAGACTAAAGATATATAAATTCATGGAAAACTCTTAGTTAGCGTGATTTTCAATATGTGCATACTACGACTTAAAAAAAATTTATTTTTGATTCCGAATCTAGATGCGTTTCTGCAACAAAAATAAAATGTTGGAAACAAATGTCGCTTACATCTTTTTGACGGTTAGGGTTCGATATTTTCAAATTTTCTTTTACATATTTTTGCTTAAAGTGTTTATTTAAATAAGTGTTGATAAGGGTGTAAATATAAAGTGAGTAATTGTATAGTGGTTAGCAGTGCGCGCTTCCACTCCGCAACGCCTGGGTTCAAGCCCTGGTAAAAGCAACATCGCAAAAAAAATAGAGAAAAAGGTATTTTCTTAACAGGGGTCGTCCCTCGGCAGGCAATGGCAAACCTCCGAGTATATTTCTGCCATGAAAAACAGCTTTTCGTAAAAATACAATCGCCATTCGGAGTCGGCGTAAAACTGTAGGTCCCTCCGCTTTGTGTGACAACATCAAGGCGCACGTCACAAGTCGGAGGAGAAGCTCGGCCAAACGCTAACATATGTGTAAGCGCCAATCTATTATTATTTAATAGTTCGTGCTGGACTGATGAAAATATATTCAACAATTTTTATTGAATTTGAGGACGTTTTTAATGAAAAACTTATTGTGGAAAAGCAACAGTAATTTGAAAAAATGGTAGAAGTGATAGCTATTTCGGAAATCACCACATTTTCGCATCAGACTTCTTTCAGTAGGATTCCAACCGACGATCCCACTGACTCAGCCAGTCGCCTACGTACTGTGCTAAGTTCGCCTTGTGAATTCTTTTTTCCACTATTTCATTTGTTAAGCCAACTATAATCATCATTTTTCTTTAAAAATGGTCTCAAGCTCAATAAAAATTGTTGAATATAATTGGTATAAGGCCTTGAAAAAAAAAAAATAATAATAATTAGTGAAAATATTTTAATTGATAAACGAAAAAGTATGAATCGCCAATTCAGGGATGGTCTATATTTTGAGGGTATTTCCGACATCCGTTTTTGATCGGTTTGGTAGGTCATACTTTTGGGTTTTTCACGGGTGGACGAGTGGTCTAGATCTCATTAGACCATTAGATTATCATTTAGAAGAGATAGCAGGTCATCCAACTAGTTACTAATAACGATTTACCTATAAATGAGTTGTATGGAACTTTTTTTTGGTGTTTTTTGATCCACGTATTGCTAGGGAGATTCGCAGGCCCTTAACGAATTGTTACTTAGACCGTTTTTGCTCTAGTTGGTTAAGTTTGACGAAAAACTATAAAAATACTGTATAGGTATGAAAATATTCTTCGTGTTCGCTTTTCACCTTCAACTCGTAAAATCATTTTCGAACAAACAAGGCCTAGCGCAAGTATGAACTGGAAAGCGCGCAGCTAGTCCAGGTACCATATCAAAAATATAATTGATGCACATAAAAAATCACCAATAGCGAGCTCGTATTCGTACTAACTGCACGTTTCCATAATATTGACTTAGTGTAATAAGTAGACTGAGAGCTAGTTCTGTGCACGTTTTACTCTGGAATATCTAAGTAGGCTACCAAGTCGGATTAGGTTTCGCCTTTTTCAATATGAAGAATTGAAGACTATTACAAAAAATGTATCAGACAAATAAAAAATAAGAACAAAATTTAAATGTTTCATTAAAAAATTACATAAAATCATATTGTATAAAATTCGTTTTTTTTTTTTAATTTTAAATAGAACTAAATAAAAAATACTACAGCAATTTTTCATATTCAACTTTATGTTTCTTTGCAGTTTCTTGCTATGGCCATTTTGGCCACCTTCTCCATTTCCGTGAATGCCGGATTTCTGGACTACATTTACCCCACCGTCATGGCAGAGTTCTATAGTCTGGCACCTACAAAAGAGGGTTATCGTTTCAAGTAAGTTTCGATGGTGGTAAATTCTTCGACTATTCCAAAATAATATAGTAAATTACGTCCTTGCATTTAGCTTGGAGGAACCAAATGGCAGCAAACGTGAAGAAATCGGTGTAGTAATGAATCCCGGCACAGATGACGAACAGCTCGTCGTAATGGGTACCTACACGGTTTACGATGAGAAAACCGATATCGAAACAATTACGATGTATACAGCCGATAAGGATGGTTATAAGCCACGTTATATGATCAAGAATCGCAAATTGAGCCCTGGCGCACTGAAGTCTGCGGCCGGTTAAGATGAAAAGTATTCACTTAAGTTAATTTTA